GTTGGCTTATGGCTTATGGTTTGCATTCTTCTGGTGTCCGTATATTCGGGCGAATTATACGAGAATATAATGAGAGGACAAGAAATGGACAAAATCGACAATTTATGGGACATTTACCGCAAACCCAATTGGAAAGACTCGCGAATCGTAGTGTTAGGTCTGGAGGTTTTTGAGTTGCTTACCGGCAAAGACATGGACAACGACCCGATGGCCATCGACTTGAATCGGCGGCTTTCTATAGTGATCGATGGTTTTGAGAATTTGCTAAACGTGTCCTATCAGAAGGCTTTGGCCGTCGGTGTAGTCGCCAACAACGATATCATATGCACCACAAGTGCTCACAGCTATTATGTGTTGAGAAATATTCAAAAGTATTTCCCGGAAATGGGAGACAAATATCGAGAGGGAAAACACTTTCACATATCGCGGCCTAAAAGTGCTGAAAATTACTATTTACTCCTAAACAGCGATCTAATCGATACATCCGTTTTGCGGGAATTCAATACTATGTAAGTTAACTATGTTTTGATTAGTATAGTGTACCTAATAATGGTATTATGTTTGTAATGCGTGAACAGAATATGTGGTCTTCAAGAGAATGGTATCTATGAATATGAGGAGCGAAAAGTGGCCACTCGTGTCGATTACGGATCAATTGCTTACAACAAGAGAACAACGGTTACCACTGATGTTAAGCCCATTTTGATGGACACTTTGAGTGGTGTCTTCATATTGTTATCGATTGGATATTTCACTGCCATTTGTGCACTAATTGTTGATTTACTAATGCATTCACTAATTGTATAAAACTAGTGATTATATCATTAAAACAATCACTTGATTCACTATAATTACAATACAATAACATTGATAACTGTTTGTAAATATACTCTACACTTTAATTGGTAAATTTTACATAGATTTTCTTAAATGTTATTTTTTAGTTAAAAATAATTTTAATTATAAAAACATTGCAAAAAATAATTTCGATTTATATTAAAATTATCTAAATTTTAAACATTTGTATTATTTGCGTAATCAATGTTTAGTTTACACAACATTTTTGGGATCAAAATTATTTATAATTTCATTGCATTTCTAAAATTTATTTCGAAATCACTTTTTAAAGATCCAATTCATTAGTCTTTTGATAAAAACAACGAATGGATTAAGAAATTGAAAACTTATTTCCAAGTGTTGGCCATTGAAATGAACGCGTTTAGTGGAACCGCATTCGGCGATTTCAATTGAACTCAATTTACGACAACTCTTGACCATTGCCTTCAGTTCCCATTCGCCACAATTCATCGACACTTTTGCCGCATAAATATCCAACGATTGAAGCGATGATTGTTGGGAAAGACTGGCTAACAATTGATCATTAAATGTGATGTTTTCGCAATTGATCCGCAAATTCTGTAATTTTCGCTGTTTTGTCACAATTTTTTGAATAACATGTTGAGGAATAGCTTCGAAATATACGCCATTGAACATATATAGATCCAAATGAGACAATTGCGGCCAATTGTCTATAGAGTCGACGGCCGGCCAATTGGGTTCAGCGGTGACCTCTTCTTGGTTGAAATCCTCAATGTCGACCTCAAAAGCAAAACGTTTCAAATGTTTTGCGTATTGAATGCAATTCAATATATTGGCACTAAATTCACGTTTGTTTAAAACTAACACAAGTGACAAACACTTCAATTGATGGCATTTTATAACGATATGGTTAAGACCATCGCATACGAGATCTTTGTGTTCACTCAAATCCAAGCGAAAAACGAGAATCAATTTTGTGAGATCTTTGAATTGAGACAATCGAGACATGAATTGATTGATAACTGTATGGCTTTCGGCAATCAAATCGATGAGATCGATGCGAAGACATGTGAGGCGCCACTTATATCGGGCCACAAATGTTACAAATATTGCGTCCGTTAGATCAACACTATAGAAGTGAAAGTCTTTGAGGCGAATAAATAGCGGTAAATGATTGCCATCTGAAGAGAGAGTTAATTCAATGCGAGAAATCTCCAGTTTTACTAAATTGGGACATAAGTGCAGATATTGGTTGAGATGATCGGATCGGCTGACAACACACGCAACCATTGGTCCAAATGTGGGCAATAAATAGGCAAACAATTGGTGATTCATGTGGTCCGCGTCAAACAATTGATTTACATTTACAGATATAGTCTCCAGAAGTGGCCACTCGTGTCTCAATTGATGGATGGCTCGGAATACGTGAATCATCAGTTCTGGTGGACGGTATCGTTGTAAAGATCTATACCGATTGGAATAACCAATTGTTCGCACATTTGGACACTTCTTCTGGAGAAATGCAATGAATTTATGACCCAATTCTACGTTACTGTCGTTTAATTGATGCCCTTTTTTATATCCATCGATCAATTTGTGGTCAATAGTAATCTTAACGATGTCGTTGTAAATCAATCGCTGGAATTGTTTGGACACAGACTCGTGAGTGGAAGCGCCGTCGAAGTCAAGTGAATGGTATGACAATAATAATTGGCACAAATCGTCACCGAATCGATCGAAAGAATCTTTTGCGTACTTTTCGTTACAATAATCACAAAAAATTGTTATTACGGTACTATTAAAATGCATATGTATTGAGTGCATACCTCTTGGGTGCTATTCCCTTGCATTATGTGCCATAAACTTATAAACCATTCGTATAATCAAAACATATTTCAATTTAAATTCTTTAGATTTGTCGATAGATTTAGTAGTTTTAACGTATAATAAAGATATAAAACTAATTATTAGTTATTAACGCGAGAAATGTTTGAATTAAAAATATTATTTAACTCAATGATAATTAAATATAATTTTATAGCAAAATAGTCAATTATTTCAAAAATTAAAAAATTAAACATCAAATAAAAATAATTGTTAGTATTAATTAAATTAACATTAAAACCAAACAAAAGTAACAAATTATTTAATTTTAAACATTTAAACAAAGTTTTAACATTTAGGCAATCATAATTACAAAAATTAATTACAAATTGTTTATAAAATCACTTTTGATGTACAATCATATGTTTGGTTAGATTAGAGCTCTGAACGCACCGATAGCCACATCCGGGCCAATGACACACATAGTTCTTGGTATTTGAGTGGATCCGCTCGTGATCTGTGCGAACCTTTAGTATACGAAACCGTTTACCACACGCCGGCCACCGGCACTCATAGGGTCGCTCACCCGTATGTATGCGGCGGTGATTATTAAGTGCATCCCAGATCTTATTCCGATAGCCACATGCGGGCCATTCGCATGTATACCACTTCTGGTGCGCGTTGTGGACCACTATCTTATGCCTCCGGAGTTGGAATGTATTCCTGAAGAACTGATTGCATCCCTCGTAACGACACCGAAATGTGTCTTCAGTTGAATGGATCCGCAAATGAATGTTAAGTTTGTTTTGAGATTTGAATGTTTTTTCGCATTCATTGCATTTGAAGGCATAAATGTCTGAATGAATGACTGAATGGGAATTGAGTTGTGCTTCAGTTTTACACTTAAAATCGCAGCCCTTTTGCGAGCACTCAAAGGGACGGTAATCGCTGTGAACTTGTCTTAAATGGCTATTAAGATCTGGTTTTGTCTTAAAACTTTTACCACAATTTAATTCTTGACAAACCATAGTCCTCTTCATGTGATGAACGACATGGAAGTGATGGTAAAGTTTACGGGAAGTAATAAACCCTTTACGGCAGTGAGGGTTAGGACACATAAACTGCTGTGTCTTCGGAGAGTAATTATCTCTTCGTAATAATAGGAGTGAATTGGGATCCGATTCGGGATCAGGTATTGCATACACTTTGGGCTCAAATTTGGGTTTCGGGACATGATTTGGATCTCTCGGTGTCTTCAAAACACTTGTGTAAACTTTGCGATCAGTTCTTCCACTTCTTCTAACGTTTGTCTCAATTATTTTTTTATTTGTTTTAATTGTCTTTTCCTCAGAGGAAGTGGTAATCGTTTTATCACTTCTTCGCACAACTGATGGACTCTTTATTTCAGTTGTTTTCTCGACAACAGGTTTGACAACAATTTCATTACTTCTTGGGATCTCCTCTACGAGTGATGTCTTGTCCGTGAATTGACTCAATGTTTGGATCAAATGATTGAAGAGTTGTTTGTCTTCTGCGGTAATAATTGTCTCCAATTTATTGCAAATGAAATTCAAATGAGTTTTCAATTCATTGAGACATTTGTTTGCAAACAATANAATGTTTGGATCAAATGATTGAAGAGTTGTTTGTCTTCTGCGGTAATAATTGTCTCCAATTTATTGCAAATGAAATTCAAATGAGTTTTCAATTCATTGAGACATTTGTTTGCAAACAATAACTCATTTAAAAGTCTATTGTTTTCATGCCTTAAATCATCCAAAATATCATTAATACTAATCATAACTGACTTTTGGTTTCCCTTTAAACTCATTTCACATTCAAAATAACGTTTAATTTATAATTAAATCACAATTTAAACCAAAACTCAATTCAAATCACATTTTATATCAAATATTTTGTAACCAAATGTTGAGACAAATGCCATAAACAGAGGGATTGTCTCACAATTTAATTAATGTTCAATACTTTTAGTGTTGTATTAAATGAAAAATTTTATTCAATTTATAATACATACGATTTAATTAAAACTAATTATATCACAACGATATCACTTTTGATGTACTTTCATATGTTTGGTGAGATTAGCGCTTTGAACGCACCGATAGCCACATCCGGGCCAATGACACACAAAGTTCTTCGTATTTGAGTGGATCCGCTCGTGATCTGAGCGACCCTTTAGTATACGAAACCGTTTACCACACGCCGGCCACCGGCACTCAAATGGTCGCTCACCCGTATGTATGCGGCGGTGATTTTTAAGTGCATCCGAGCTTTCATTCCGATAGCCACATGCGGGCCATTCGCACGGATACCACGTCGGCTGTGCGCTGTGGACCGCTATCTTGTGTTTGCGAAGTCTTTTAGCATTTTTGAACCATTGATTGCATCCCTCATAACGACATCGAACTGTGTCTTCAGTTGAATGGATCCTTAAATGAGTGTTAAGCATGTTTTGAGTTTTGTATGTTTTCTCGCATTCATTGCATTTGAAGGCATAGATGTCTGAATGGATATGAATTGTGTGTGAATTGAGTTGTGCTTCAGTTTTACACTTAAAATCGCAGCCCTTTTGCGGGCACTCAAAGGGTCGGTAATCGCTGTGAATATTGTTTAAATGGCATTTAAGCTGTTGTTTAGTCCGAAAACCTTTACCACAATTCAATTCTTGGCAAATGATTGTCCTCTTGAGGTAATGGGCGACGTGGAAGTGCTTATTCAGTTTGCGACTATCAATATAGCCTTTACGGCAGTGAGGGTTAGGACACATATACTGCTGTGTCTTCGGAGAGTAATTATCTCTTTTCAATAATAACTTAGAATTGGGATCCGATTCGGGATCAGGTATTGCATACACTTTGGGCTCAGGTTTTAGTTTTCGGACATGATTTGAATCTCTTGATGTCTTCAAAACACTTGTATACACTTTGCGATCAGTTCTTCCACTTCTTCTAACATTTGTCTCAATTGTTGTTTCATTTGTTTTAATTGTCTTTTCCTCAGAAGAAGTGGTAATCGTTTCATCACTTCTTCGCACAACTGATGGACTCTTTATTTCAGTTGTATTCTCGACAACAGGTTTGACAACAATTTCATCACTTCTTGGGATCTCCTCTTCGAGTGATGTCTTGTCCGTGAATTGACTCAATGTTTGGATCAAATGATTGAAGAGTTGTTTGTCTTCTGCGGTAATAATTGTCTCCAATTTATTGCAAATGAAATTCAAATGAGTTTTCAATTCATT